TTACAATAGAATTGATGTTTACATGATGCATGGTATGCCGATACATTAATGACAAGTATATAATCACGGTACCTCTAATAAATAATTTTTCGTGCTCTATAAAGCGCATTGTTATAGGTCAAAAATAGTGAGCAGAAATAGTATCCCAATCAATAAATTCTGAGATAATGACGTTCACTACTATCATTCAAAGCGCATTGAAAATAATGGTCTTGGGCAAAATATGTAACGATTAGAATCCTCAAAAACATTTTATGCCTCAAAAAATTTGGGCGAAGCTGAACTGCAGCAAACATTGCGTAGGTTGTGAAGAAGAGTATTTGAAAGTATTTGATTTACCAAGTAGATCGAAAATCGAAAATTCCAAACATTTGATTTCTTAAATAATTTGAACTCAATTTGAGGAGAATACTTGCTTAAGTTAATGTGCTGAAAATGGCACACATACCTTTTAATTCATCAAATCGTTGTTTTGTTGCTTTTCCATTTCGTATTTTACAACTAGCTCGAAAGAAGCGAATTGTTTCGCAAAACATGCAAAAATCTTTATCTTTGATTAATGAAAGAAAAATTTCATAGAAAACACAGATTCTCCTCTGTGCAGTGTTGTTCAATTTTCGGTATTTGTTTTCGTTCCAACTTAATTAATCGATTTTAAACCAGTAGAATTGAACCTTGTTTACTGTAACGCAGATGTGGGGATCAACATCATTGTTCCAGAAAACCGTCAATCCCTCCGATCTTTTTGCTAAGATAGAACATCTACACAGTGATGCCGGTATCAGCCCTCAGGGTTCGGTGGAGTGGGTAGTACCAGATATGCTTGACTTGGTGACTGCAAGAGAACCGCTTGTACGACCAGGACCACCGCCGAAAGAGCCTATTAATCAAATATACAGAAGAACACAAGAGCAAGTTGTTTGTGGATCTTTGGCGGTTACAAAAGGAAAAAGGAACATAGGAGCTGACGTTAGAGAAAAGAAAACCAATTACGGGAATAAAAGCTTGACATTTGATCGAACAGAAACTCAAACAAAAACGCCAAATAGTTATGAAAGGAAGGAAGTCAAATTCAAGAAAAAAAACACAGCTAATAAAGCTAAGCCAAAGTTCAACAAAAGAAATAAGTTTTCTCTTTTGAACATGTAATAGTAGCACACAGTGATTGTTATATGCTGCACTCAAAAAATAAGCCTAATAAATTGTTAAAAAACGAATAAATGTGTGATTCCTATAAGAGTAACTAAATTGTTGCAGTTCTTCAATAGTAGATTAAGGAAAGTGTTTAACTAAAGTTCATATACTGCTGATAATCTAGAGCAACGGCTCAAAGAACTCAGAACTCGAATTTCTCGAAAGCAAATTTTGAATCATCTAACTGTAGGAGGGAACCAAGTTTCAAGAGAAGTACTCAGGTGAATTGCAACTGACGAATACACCAAGTAAGACCTTATCATTCCCACTTTTTCAACTTTACTTAGCTATCACTGCCAAAAATATCGCCAACGTGTTAGGATTCATTTAAGTTCTGTGAGCGAGTGGAGCATGGTCACGCTATGCACAAAAGAAAATTAAGCATAATCTACCATTTAACAGTTGCAAAGTAAGGCATCAACTATCGTATCTTAAAAAGGGAATGATGAATACCACCGAATGACACTGCAGTAAGTTAACATGAGTCTCTGCTAGCCTACTTTAAATGTGACGTGGCAATAAATCAGTTAGTTGGCTGCATGGTATGCAACCCCGCAGCCTATTTTGAGTTTGCAACCAAAAATACCAATTTGGTACGTTGCGTTCATATTTAGTGCTTATGATGGTGCCCATAAAATTTCAGCAAACTTCGCTTATCAGCTCCTTTATGCAGGAACAGCTCTGTTTGCTTTCTAGGCGGTTAATCGGTGCGGGGCTTCACTCACATGCATCGAAGCATCAAAGCAAAACAATCGCTACTAGCTTGTAATGATCCATGCAATTTGACAAAACGCGACGATGCCGTTATGCGTCTGTATAACGAGTGGTATGCGGTTGAATGCCGCTTGTTTGGTGTATCACCCCAAGTCTACCGTTCTCCATTATCCGCGCAGCAATGTGCGCGGGTATGGGCTCGAGTCGGTCTATTGTTTATTCAATATACTCCGGTTTGTATTTGCCAACCTTAACAGCAACTGCCACAAATGCTGTATTCTTCATTAAACGTTGAATTCCAGTCAACTCGCATGGTGGGAACGTGCATAGGGCTGTTCCTGCGTATGTGAGCGAAAACGCCGTTGTTTCATACGCTAATTGATTGCCTATCAATTCCGAAGTGCAGCACCGAGCCGTAAGTGATAATGTTACAAATGTATGCTTAATGCTTCGAGCTTCATTTATCCAGAACGTACAACCGCTCAAAACTTTTGCAAAAAAAAA